CATTTGCCTGTTTATGCGCTATATGTACATGTAGTGACGCGTCGCACACACGCACGTAAAAAATTATATGTGTATGTATGTATGTATGTATATATATGTGTGTGTGTGTTTGTGTGTGTGTGTGTGCGTGTACATATGTGACGCTGACAATATATGATAAAAACAGCGGCGTGTATGTCGTGGAATAATATTCATTTTTATCTCCTGATTTTTTTTTTAGTCAAAATAATCTTCGGCAAAATCAATTCAATAGTTACAATGGCTAGGAAAAAAATTCATCAATTGCCTTTTTCCATCGGGCTAAGCAAAGGAGAGAGAAAGAAAGAAACTAATTTAATTTATATTAAGTAAAAGTTTAAGTGATTCGTTGAATATTGACTATAAAACGTGTAAATAAATAAATTGTTTACAATACTGATCGTAAAAACAAAAATGGTAAACAAAATTTCTCTCTTTCTATTAAGATAAATGTAGAAATTATAAATCAAATTTTAAATCACAGTTGACATATAATAGGACTATCTTTCCTCTTGTCCCTTCAATTTTTTCTTTCATACATCAGATGTCCTTTGCAAGCAAATGTGTTTATAAAATAAAATGGCCTAATCAGCTGACAATACGTCACATAGGTTATGTAAATAAGTCACACAATAGTACTTTTTAAATAATTATGACGCATTTAGTCTTGCGCGAGACAAAAGAACACAATATAAAATAAAACGTATGAGAATAATAAAGATAACGATTTTTGATAATATTCAAACACATTGAAAAATGCTAAATACACACATATGTGTACATACATTTGTCATGTTTGTTTAAGAAATAATTTACATGTATGCAAATATAAAGTGTGTCAAGAATTAAGAGCCCATGAATATAAACACCTCCATTTTATTGCAATTTATAAAATATTGCAGAAATTATTTGTAATATGGAATCGCGTGGATATATTTTCGGCGAAATATACAAGGGACAAGATACAAGTGTTCCATGTATATAGTGTATGTAGAATAGAGGTTCTCGTTAGTACCAATTATGCGACATTATGTGAAGATAAAATGGAACTCGAGATAAAAGCGGTGTAGGCAAACAGATAGATAGACAGACAGACAGACATGAGACAGGTATGCTGCGAATGTTGGAGTGAGAGGGTGAGATAGCTAGGTAGCAACTTAGCAGCGGCTCGGGACTTGGGAGTCGAGTCGGGCGCCGCCACAGGAAAGAGAGGGAGGGGGAATTGTGAGATAATGATGGTGAGTGATGTCAATGAGTGAGATTTAACGAAAATCATTGGTACCGTGATGACTCCATCCTTCATAATGGATTTTCGGCTTCGTATGATCATGCCCACGACCTTCTTAGAGACCTTGGCGGGCATATTCACGCACTGCGCGCACAGACTCTTTCGCTTCTTCAATTTCATGAATTCCTAGACTCTCGACGGCACGAAAGAAGTCATTTTCCCGCGATACCGTCCTCGCACCGTTTCTCAACCGTTGTAACTCCGAGATTACTTTCAGCTAACACGGATCGTTCTCATGGTGGCATCTACATAACAGTAGAGCAAACGGCGAGAACAAACGAACGTATCCACATGCCCGCAACCAACACACAGACTATCGTCAACGGGCACGAACAATTCTGAGATATCGCGAGTCGCGAGACGATCAAACCGAATCAAGCGATATCGCCATCAACCAGCGGTTTTGCATAGACAGGTGGATTTCCAAGCGCGCGCTGTTGTGCGAGTGTTCGGCTTACTCCATTGGTCATTTTTGTTTTCAGTGTATTCGAGAAAAGCTTGGTGATATAAAAAAATAATTAGAAGTGAGTCCGTTCGTAGTCCGTTCTTAGGCTGCCGTCCCATGAAGCGGAAGTTTATAACGGAACGGAACAGCGCAATCAATCACAACTCTGCAATCATTACTCTGGTTTCTTTTCTGCGATTGTGATTGATTCGCTGTAAATTTCTGCTCCATGGGACGGCGGCCTTATTGTAAGACTGGGTTCATACCTTAACGGAAAAGCGGAAAAGCGGAAGTCAATTAGAACTCGCGGAAAGACAAAAGCAGAAAGACAAGCGAAATGTACTGTCTACTACTGCGAATTCCGCTTTTCCATCAAGATGTGAATCCGACCTTATGCGATATACAATACAATAAAAACACCTCATGGGACTCCAGCCGTAGGCCGGGTTCACACCTTGACGGAAAAGCGGAAAGCGGAAACGGGGAACTCGCAGTAGTTTCCGCGAGTTCCGATTGGCTTCCGCTTTTCCGCTTTCCGCTTTTCCATCAAAGTGTGAACCCAGCCTAACCAATCGTATAACCAATCAGAAGCGATCCACTGTTGTTGTTTCGCGTTTTATTGATTATTGATTGGTTACGCGATTACGCGATACGCAGCAAATACGTTTCATGGGACTTCACCTTAAGAGTGATGTCCCATGCAGCAAATCGTGTGTAAGTGGATTCACATATCGCTAAATGCTTGCGAAATTTGCAAACAGAGGACGATTCTGTGATTAAGTGCGTTTGGTATTACAAATCGGAGGTGTCTGTTTGTGCTGTTTTACCTCGAAAATCATTCGGCAACTCGCATCTTTCTGCTACATGTCATCTCATCTGCGTTCGGTATTAACATTTTTAGATCCAATCGAGCTACTCGATCAATCCGAATTCAAAGACCGAGCTCACAGAGGTAATGCAGATTTTCGCGTCTAAATTAAATTTATAACCTGTATATTTATGATAATGTATCCAATTGATTCGTTAACATGTACATTAATTTTTTTCAATACTTCTATTTTACAAATAATGTATTTAAACTGTTATAATGAGTCTATAAATGCTGAAACAAATGCTATCAAATAGAAATTGATAGAGTACATTATGTATGTACAATGTTTAACGAGAAAAGGAAGTTTTTAATTCTTTTGCTCTTTATGAATTTGAGATCACGTATTTGAAAACAAAGAATTTGCTAGTTCATTTTTAGATCAAAGCTTATGTTGCACATACAGAATGAAATAAAATCAAACTGTATTAATATATTAAAGAGTCTAACGAATATAAATCAAGTAATACAACTTATAAATTTTAAATTGCTGAAATTTATTTGAAATGTAGTATTTTCTTTTAAGAAAACACACTTTATGTATGAGTCTGCTACATTCATATGTAACGATCTATTTTTAGTATATAATATTATTATCAATTTTTAGTAAAGTGAAAGATATTTTCAATTAGAATATTTATTTATTTCATAAAAATAAACAATTTCATTTTATAATCTAACTTTAAAGGACAGCTCTAACTTTAAAGGACAGTTTACAGCTCTATGTTGTTCGAAATTAAAGGCTTAAATACATGTACGGAATGTAATATCGAACTTACATACCAGAGTTCTGATTGGACGGCATGTTATTCCCTGTTGCCTGTGCCTATTGTGTTCAATCCTTAATTCTTGGCATTCGGATTGCTCGAAGATCACATAATCGAACTCGTCATCTGTTAGCTCGCATCCATAGCGTTTTCGGCCCGACCGGATTTACATCAACTTAGGTTAGCAAATGTTTCGCAATTGGTTGACGTTACACGCTCTACCAATAGAAGAGCACGAAACATTGGGTTTAGACACAAACATCGACACAGTGTCGAACGCGGTGCTTTCCAATAACGACATGCCACGGCACGATTAGACACAGCATAGCCGAACACTCTGTTATGGTTGCTAATTTTCGGTTGGCACTTTAGAGTATTTCCATTTTACACATAAAGTACGAAATAAGAAGTACATAAGTCATCTAGATCATTTTAATGTAAAAAATTGTATCTACGCATAAAATTATTATCCAACAAGAGACAGAAGTGACGGCGTGACACGGCAAATCGTTACATCCTTGTTGTTCGCCAATGTTAAACAAGGATGAGGTGACCGCTGTGTCGTAGATGGAAAGCACTCATCATTACTTCAATCTAGGTTAGTGCACTGTTTCGGTCGAGTCGAAAACGCTATTAGATTTGCCGATTTAAGCCGGAAATATATTGTATGTTTATAAATAAATATAAAAATCGTGAAATACTCAATACATTTTATTGCACTATTAGGTAAAATATGTATTTCATAATACATATTCATAATACATATATTTCAAGATATTTGCATTTTATTTTTATACTAAAATTAAAGTTCAATGGCTTTAATATGCATCAGTGCTTCCAGTCGAATTCGCCTTAATGCTTATTATACAAAGGAGAAAATGCAATGCTTTTGGCATAGTTTATTTCTGAAAAAAGCTAATCGAAAATAATCAACGCAATAGTAATATTTCGACGCAACAGATTTAAATTAAAATCAAAAGTAAAAAGACCGATGTAACAAAATAAATTTGGAGGGTTATTTCGTTATGAAAACTTCCTTCTCAAGGAAATTCCCTTGAGAAAAGGAAACTAATAAGGTTTCTTCTTTGGTCAAAGAAAGTTTATGAAACGTGAAATGAGAAACAAGAAATCCTCATTCCTCAAGGAAAGACTATGAATACGGGTATTAGCTTAAACACAATAGACACAGGCAATAGGCAACAGTGAATAACGAGCCGTCCAATCAGAGCTTTCGTGTGTAAGTTCGATATTATATCTGAGAATTCTGATTGGACAGCTTGTTATTCCTTGTTGCTTATTACTTGTACCTGTACTTGTGTTTAAGCCTTTATAAGTCCGGATCTACAATAGACTTTTAAGACTTAAGCCGTAAGAAATTGATCAACTACAATCAAATGCGAGGAAAATAATTGATTGTGATTCGTCCATTCCTTATGGCTTAAGGCTTAAAAATCTATTGTAGATCTTCAGGCTAATGCAAGAGCTGTGCTGTGGCCATATACGTTCCGTCTATATATTGGATGATTCATGGCACGAGATCGTCTGCAATGGCACCACCTAGCATCTTGCGCACGAGACTTGACGACACGTTCTCGGGCTACTCCGCCGTCTCCGACTTCGCCAGACTTCGCCAGACGCCCGACGGCCCGAGCTACGTCGATTAGTGCATACTGCCGCTTTGCGCATAGCACCGTGAGAGTGCGTAGCGTTCAGTGGTGGAAAAAAAAAAATGGTAGTTATTTGGGTGTAGTCGGGGCGAATTTTCTGCAAGACAAATGTGAGTACCGGCTGGCTAAAGGATTTAACGAGTGCCGTTTCGTTGACGCAACCGCGAGGCTAGTATGACTGGGTCCGTGTCGGAGGTAACGAAAATACGAGAGAGCGGACGGACACTGATTCTCCCCCGCATGAAAGCCCGAGACCGAAGTAGGTACTGGTTGGTTCGTGCATCTCTCTCTCTCACCTCCGTATAACATGTATATCGCGCGGACACTGGCGAGATATTTTATCAGTCAAAAATAACGGCGCGCCGCATGACGTGCCGCCGGGGCGCCGCGGCCTCGGCGCCACCTCGTCGCCCGTCGCTCGTTCCGGTCCGCCCGACGGGACGTCTCACGTCGCGCTTGCGATACGCGTGAAACGTCTCCCGACGAGCGATATTTTTGGGATAGATGTCACATTATCTCGCAGCATCTCGCAGTCGCGTGTGCGGTGTGCGGTGCCTCTGCCTGCCAGTTTAACGCCGCCGTGCTTCTCGCGCTATTCGTGCACGCGCGCGCGCACCTATCTGTGTGCAACGGATGAGTATGCGTCGTTTGATTTACGAACGTCTCTTCCGTGTGTACGTACGTGCGTATGTACTTGTCCGTGCGTGCGTGCGTGAGTGAATGCTTGCGCGCGAGATCTCCCTCGATCGCTGTCCATGTATAACGCGGCTTCCTTTACTCGTGTCAACGCGCTCGCGCGCACGCAAGCCGTTCCACTGTGTCGGTGAAATACTTAACGCATGTTCGTGCGCGCGCGCGTGTATGTCGAGACACCCTATATATTGTCATATTTTTCAAGCGGAGTATCCCACGGTGCGCTTGACAACATTTTGCGACTTTAACAAGCACAAACGTGTCTCCTCGTGTCTCTTTGTTTGCGATACGCTCGCGCGTGACGATCAAAACACCCAAATGTTCCTACGTCTCAACTGTTTCCTTCATTGACGCGTTGATATATAGTTTAATAGCAAATTGATTTGCGAGTAATATTCTCTTTAGGGTCTGTGCGTCTTATCATGCGCATGTATCTTCGTCACACTTGATTTTATTTTGTCAAACGATTAATTTTTATAATTAACAGTTAATGACAAATATCTTAATATAAGGTAGAAGAAATTGAAAACATTTCTATGTAAATTCTACAACACTTGTATCGATTTTTCTTGATTGTTTGTTTTTTCATATATTTTATAAGTATGCATCAAGAATTATAAAACAAATTAGGATAGAGAAATTTTTACAATTAGAACAATGGTACTTGTTGATGTTTGAAATTAAATATTGTATATGTTTATTTATTTGTTTATTTATTTTAGCTGTTTGTTAACGATCTAATCAAATTAAATTTATTTATTACATAAATTAATTTCTATGACTATTTGTAAATCACTTTATTGCAATACAAATCAAAGTTATCAAAGCTAATTTTGTGACATTAATATACTTTTCTTAAATTTCTTAAATTTTTTAATTTTTTTAAACAATGGGCTGTATATACAAGTATTTCAAAAATTTTTATAAAAAGTTTAAATTATATTTTATATTTGTTGTATTATTTTTTTTATTAGTCTTTTTTTTATTTCTCGACATACTTTATAAAATATGACCTTTTCTATTAAACAATTTTTTTAACAAGTATTATGTTATCAGGGCAAAGTGAAAATATTATTTTATAATAGAATTTCCATGCAATAGTTAATGTAATTGTCCTCTGATTTCAGATTCTTTCAGTTCCTTGGATACTAGAAACTTGCTAGCTAGCTCAGCAGTTTGTATGGCAGAATATATAGCCTAAGTCCAAAATGTTACAGATATGGATATTTTGAATCTTATAACAAAGACTGCTCGTTAAGAGACATATAGTCACGGTTGGGAAAATTTTAATTCGATTATCTTCAGAAGGCGATAAAAATATGAGTCTTATTAATTTTACATCAGAGCGAAATTGAGTATAGAAACACAAGGGAAAAGGGAAAGTAATTTTGTGAAATAGAATTTTAAGTAAAGTTGGTTATGTGCAATGCCGAGATGCTACAATGACAGCAAGACAGTGAGTTCAGTGAACAGCAACTATAAGCACAATACAGACGATATTATATTAACGCAATCGCATGCTTTCTCGATTGGAAGTCAATTGAATGCAGACGAAGATCCCCCAGTAATTGAAAAATCACACAGACGACTTCGGTGCGACCTTAGTCCTGTTCCTACAAGTACAAATTCCAATTTAAACATAAAACTTCTTGGTTTAAAGGTAAGCTTTCAGAATATACATTTTTACACATTTTTATCGTGTATTTTTGTATTGTTTTACACTTTACACAATTTTATACTTTGTTAAGTAAATTTTATGTTTTTAAATATTAATTTATGCCTTTCCATGTTGATGCTCGATACTCATTTTTAGCGTCAAATTAGATAATCATGTAATAAAATGACAAATATCAAGCGTCAGTTTTGATCGTGACTTATTTTGATTCTAAAAATGAACATCAAACATTAGCATGAAAAGATATTTTTTTGCTGTAATATATTGAGTGCTTGAAATAGATTCCATGTTGTTAAAAATTAGATTTAAAGGGTTTAATGTGGTATTTAAAATATTAGAAATGAATGTATTTTTAAATATTTTTTTTTTCTTATATTGTAGGGTGATAAAAGTACTCGTCAGGATCATCAGGTGAGCACTGGATCTGGGGGGCACAAAGAAAAAAATAGGGAGATCAAAAAGAAAGCAGCTATAGGCAATACAGTGCGTGGATTCTTCTCATCTGGCCACAGCAGGCAGGACAGGTATAATGATGTCTGTATCAAAAATCATGCTTCTTACATTGTCATTTGTTATATCTTATTATTAATTTCTGAACTATTTTTTATTGTAAACTATCAATCTCTTCTAACTAATTACGATATGTATTTTTTTTAAATTTTTCAAGTATTTTGTTTCTACAAAATTCTATTATTAATTGCGCATTTATGTAATCTTGTTACTATAGTAGATTCTCGATAATTTAAGGAAGAGATATAAATTTGCTCTATATATACTTACGAATGCTGCATAATCTCAAAATTATTAATAAAGTTTATACAAGTTGTAATTTGCTTCAGAAATAATTTTCAACAAATATTCAATAAATATTATACTTGTATATCAGATAATCTTCTAAGTAATATAAAAATTTATACTTATATATCAATTTATGCCTTATTAGTTTTTGAGAAAATAAAAATATATTCTGAGAATTTAAAAGCATTAATATGTTAATTTAATCTATACTAGAGCAATGTGTTAAGTTAACAATATATTTCATAAATTATATCATTTTCATTCCTTAAAATTTTCTATTCTTGGTTGTTATTAAACTTTACTAAACATTTTTCGATTTTTAATATTACTAATGAACAGTCATGAATTATTTACATATCTGACTTTGTATCCGAGTTCTCGTTTGCTTAAGCTGTCAGTGTTATAATAATGACAGTAATGATGTCGTTTTGCGTTGCGCAGCTCTTTTACCAAGTACAAAACCTGCGCAATGATAATGTAACGATATCGTTACTGTTATTAAGTTACAAAATAGAGACCGAGTTAGAAATATAACAAAAGTTTGGCACAAATTAAGAATTTTTGTATTTGATATGTGCGATATAAAAGAATAGAATGAATTGATGTGAACACAAAGTTAATGTTAAAAATTAAAATGCAAATTAAAAATACTATATTTAATTTATTTAAACTAATATGTTTAGTACTATTATTATTCAATTGAATTAATTTTCTCTTTCTCAATCATCGAGAGTATACTTAAATTATAATTACACAATAAGCTTGTTATGCAATATGATAAAAAATGCTTTATATAAATAAGTAGTTTATATTAATGTATCACACTAACTACACAAAAATATATATTATGCACATGTATATGTAACATATTTAGAAATAACCAACGATTTCTCTATATTCTACAGCTTTGACCTTTAAAATTTTTCTTTTATACTTTTAAAAACGAAAAAAGATATTTCATACACAGATATTAGATGTTTTGTCTGTATTTTCTTTTGACGTGTTTTGTACATGTGTATATTCAATCAGTAAATAAGATATGATCGGATAAATTATCCAAAATTCTGATAGGAAAGGCATGACATTTCTTGTAGATGAGTCATTTAATATCACTGGAATACTTCTTTATACATACATATATACATATGCACGCATATTAAAACAAGTGTCTTGATAATTTAATAATCCTACTGGTTATTAACATTATATTTTGAACTTTGAATTTACATTTTCTACAAATCTACATTTATTTCCTAAGATCTAAAATAAAGATATCGAATAAGTTAGATTGAGATACGTTTTATCTTATGTGAAATAAAACAAGTTTTTTATTCTTAATATATAATTATCTATGTGAAATTTTAGGTATGAGACAAACAGGCAACGTTCTTCAGGTGGAACTGGCGGTGGCTTGTCTAGTTTATGTCCTAAGCTGGTGGCCAGTGGAGATACTGGCAGCCAAAGTGGCATTAGTTTGGCAGTGGGCCACTTAGCCTCTCAAGAAAGCAGAGGCCCTTGCGCAGTTGTAACGACCCAAAGGATCCACGCACACAATCACAGACGCCAAAGAAAGCTATCTATTGTCGCGCAGGCAGGCCCTAGTGCCAATACTACTGGTGATAGGAAGGTTAGTTAAATTGCATTGGCTAAATTAACACTGAAACATTTAAACATTTGTAGTATAATACGATTAAGAAATATTATTATCATATGTTTCAAGTTGTCATACATTGTAATTTAATGTCACTTTATGTTTTATGTAGGTATTATCCAATATAAGTCGCTCGGCTAGTATTTCTAAAAAGCAAATTCGAACACAGCGACACGATCAAAGTACTGATTCTTCATCTATAACTAGCAACGGTCTTGCGACCAGCTCACCATCTTCTAAAAAAAAAGTACTATCTGCCTTGCGTATTTCTGATCGATCATCTACCCAAAGTGTGAATTCGTCATCCTTAGATCATGAAAATGATCGTAGTTTCAGTGATGCTGAAGAAGCAATCGCAGCAACGGAGAATGCGTTTGCAACACCAGGTAAATTTTTCAGGATTAAAATAAAATTATATATTATAATATATAAAGTTACTGACATTTTATTATATTATATATAGGGTCTAGTTCTACACCTTCTACACCAATTAGTAAAGTGAAGTCGGCAAAATTCAGCAAGGATGAGGGAGCAAATGTGGAACGTAATATTCTCACAGAATGTACCGATTCATCAAGAAACGCTGCAGATGTACAACATGTGATTTTAAATGAATTCGAACAAAAAAATATTATGCCAATAAAATTGTCTGCAGTACACGAATTATGCACAGTTAATCAGGAAAGTATTACAAATGATAAGCAAAAATCGTCGAGTTCTACCCTCAGCACCAAATCTATTAGTAATAGCGACCAAAAAGTTTTGAAAAATAGAAATAGAAATTGTGCAGAAAAAATGATTGAACATCATAGTAGTAAAAACATCGAAACAGCTAACATAGAAAAAGATTTAAATGATACTACGATATCGACAGACATAGAAATGAATTCTATAGATGATAATAGTGAAGGTAAACAAGAAAAAAGTAGAAAATCTATAGGGTACACGGGTAGTGGTGACGACAGTATAGATAAAGAAACTTCGAATACCGTCAGAAGCGATAAGAGAGAGAATTTAACGAGAGTCAAAAGTAACGCAGGTTTAAGCGAGGAGGTAATTAAGAATTCGAGGTTTGTAACATCAAAGGTACTGGAGGAGACGGATGCAGATACTAAAACGGATGTGGAAAAAGAAGAGGAAGAGGAAAGAGCGACAATATACGATGACGATGGCACCAGTATCAGCGATATAGTAGCGGCACAAGCGCTTCATGAATCGTTAAGTAAATTAGGTAAAGTTCCGCTGTTAGACACTGAGATGGAAGAAGTACAGAATAAAAGTTTGCGAGACGATACAAAAATGAGGGAGCGTCCTGAAAAGGATATAGTTACGCAAGAGGAAACGGTAGAAGGTTTTATCGGTCCATTACTTGACGAAAACTTCAAAGCTGATGAGAAATTATCACAAAAGACAATGGCGATGGAGGATGTGCAAAATTTACTAATGAAAGTTAAGGTGCAGACTATCGAGGACGACGACGACGAGGAGAAAGCCGTTGGCATTTCGCCGGATGGAAGATTTCTGAAATTTGAAGAGGAAATTGGTCGTGGCAGTTTCAAGACTGTTTATCGCGGATTAGATACTCAAACAGGTGTAGCTGTAGCTTGGTGCGAATTGCAGGTCAATAAGATATCTTTTTAATTAATAAATAGTAATAAGGCTCTGTAAATATAAAACAATATGGTACAAAAGAAGGGCAAAAAGCCAATGATGTAACAAAGAACTTTAATTTAAATTAACATTAAAAATTCATATAAACAATTACAATTGACAAAAACAAACATTTCGACTCCGATCGAGTCATTTTCAATGTAGTTGTAATATTTAAACATCACTCTAAACCAAAAACTGACAAGAATATTGTTTTATGACTACTTTGATTTTTGATAAAAATGACTCGCAGCGTACTACACGGAATGAAGAATACGGGATTAAAAATTATAATAGTTTTGTAATATCACGTATATATTTTTAGTTTAGAACGATGTTTAAATATTACGACTACATTGAAAATGACTCGATCGGAGTCGAAATGTTTGTTTTTGTCAATTGTAATTGTTTATATGAATTTTTAATGTTAATTTAAAGTTCTTTGCTACATTACTGATTCTTTGCCCTTCTTTTGTACCACATTTTGTTTTATATCTTTTTAAAAAATATATTGCACAAATATTTTTTAATATATTATTTTAACATAAGTTAAAGTTACTTAATTAAAGTTTATGTAGATAATGGAAATAAAATAATTTATCTCTTATTTTTTTATAGGAGAAAAAATTGAATAAAACAGAGAGGTTGAGATTCAGGGAAGAAGCTGAAATGTTAAAGGGATTACAACATCCGAATATTGTACGGTTTTATGATTATTGGGAGGTTACACTTACCCGTAGAAAATATATTGTACTAGTCACTGAACTCATGACATCAGGAACATTGAAAACGTAAGTTCTTCATTGATTATAGGGTTATTGTAATATATGTTTAAATGTTTGACTGTATATATTTTAACTTTTTGCATTGTAACAGGTATTTGAGGAGATTTAAAAAGATCAATCCCAAAGTAGTAAAATCTTGGTGTCGGCAAATCTTGAAAGGTTTAAGTTTCCTTCACTCCAGGTCACCGCCTATTATTCATCGAGATTTGAAATGTGATAATATTTTTATCACGGGTACCACGGGAAGCGTGAAAATTGGTGATTTGGGTCTTGCAACATTGAAGAATCGTAGTTTTGCAAAGAGCGTAATTGGTACACCGGAATTTATGGCGCCTGAAATGTACGAAGAGCATTATGATGAGTCGGTCGACGTTTATGCCTTCGGGATGTGTATGCTTGAGATGGCTACTAGCGAGTATCCATATTCCGAATGTACAGGACCAGCACAAATATATAAACGTGTAGTATCGGTAAGCGTGCATTGCAATATTAAATTTTTATATCAGTATAGTGCAATTCTATAGTCGTTTGATAATGATATTTATGTAGGAGGGAGATAATTATGTTTCTAAATCTTATAAACATAATTTAACGTACCATAGAGGAATGATACAACATTCTCTGAATATTGATTTGTTATTGCGTAGGGTGTTAAGCCGCAGAGCTATGATAAAGTTGAAAATCCGGAAGTACGTGATATTATAGAAATGTGTATACGTCTGAAGAAGGAAGAACGACCGCTCGTTAAGGATCTACTTAATCATGAATTCTTCGCTGATGATGTTGGACTGAAATTGGAAATGGTATCGCGGGATTCGGCGGTTGCAGATACCGAGCTATCGCGCGTCGAGTTCAGATTGCGTGTGCTGGATCCTAAAAAGCGCAGCAATAAACACAAAGAAAATGAGGCGATACAATTCGATTTTGACATACAGGCTGATAATGCAGAAGAGGTAGCGTTAGAAATGGCAAAATCCAGTCTCATATTGGAGGAAGATGCTAAAGCAGTGGCTAAGATGTTGAAATCACAAATTACCACTTTATTGAGAGAACGAGAGGAGCGTAAGGCTAAAGAAGAGAAGGAACGTTTGGATAGGGAAACTGCCGCTACAACCACAGATGTTACAGCTAATGCTGCAAATGCCGAGAACTTGTTACAACAGCAACTGCTCCTTCAACAGATGCAATTGCAGCAACAGCAACAGCAACAACAAATTCAATCTAATATTAATATTCAGATGCAAAATCCAGTCCCAATGCAATTGCAACAGACTCAAATGCCCATTCAACAACAGCAATTACAATCGACCGCTCAACAGGCTCAACAGCATAATTTACAAGCACAGCAAGTTCAATTAGTCCAGCAACAACCAATAATTCAACAGCAAACATCGGTTGTGCAACCCCAACAAGCACAACAAATACAATATCAACAGCAAATACAGCAGCAGTATCAGCAACAACAGCAACAGTATTCTCAACACGTCCCGCAAAGCTTGAATGCGAATTCTCCACAATGTTCAACTCCGCAAAACGTTCAGACTCAGCCTCAGTTTCCACAGGTGCCACAGCAGATGCAGCAGCAACAGCAGCATGTTCAGATACAGCAACAACAGCAATATATACATTTGAATCAGATGAGTGTTCCACAACAAATTCCTCATCAAATGCAGCAACAGATGCAGCCACAAATGCAGATATTGCCTCAACAGCAGCACATGCTTCAACAACATGCGCAACAACAGTATGCGACTCAACAGCAACTTCAGCATGTTCAGCAGCTGCATCAGCATACCGTTAGTTCGCCGCCTGTTCAGAATCAGCAATATTATCAACAAAGCGCTACCGGTTCCTCGGGATATGTATCAGCAGGTTCATTGTATCAGCAAACCATGCCACAACAAATATTTCATACATATACCACTTCTAATCCTTCCGGTCACGTAGAAATCTTATCGTCCACCCAAACTGCGACGCAGATTTACTCTCACACGAGTTTACCCGCAGGCACGGTATCTGCAGCCTCGCAATCGCAATACATCCCAACGGCAGGTCAAGTTCAGGCATCTGTACCGTCGGGCATAAGTGTCAATAATACATCGGCTGTGACTCACATGCAAAACGTCCCAACTTCGACAATTCCCAATATACAGAGCGCGCCTACTTTACTCAGTAATACCGGTCCACAGTCTCAATCTCAACAAAATATTCTCGTGCAAATGCAGTATTCACAAAACACGAACATCATACCTAATTCTATTTCAATGACACCCAATATGACAAATGTCCCAGCGCAATCGTCTACTAATCTTCAACATCAACATTTCCTTTCGAATGTGGATCAATGTCCGACGACTGATAGATCTTCCCTGGTAAAACAAGATACAATGGACTCGATACAATCTCTTCCGCTGGATCAACCAATTAATTTACAGCAAGATCAAATTGTTGCTACTGCTTCAGTCGCAACGGGCGTTGCACAACAGACTGTAACGTCAATCGATGGGTAAGACAAGATAGAATAAAGATGAATAAAAAATTACGAATAAAAATTAAATATTTTATTTTCCAGAGTTACGCCAGAAAATTCCGAAAGCGTCACTGCTTCCGAGAGAAGTCGAATAAAACGTTCTGGAACTAAACGTAAGAAGCCGGGCATTAAATTAACAGTCTTATCTGTCAGTAGCGGCGAAGGACAATCAATGACTGTCGAGTGCCAGTTAGATACAAGTAAACAAAAGACTGTTACCTTTAAATTTGATCGAGATGATATGGTACCTACGGACATTGCCAACAATTTGGTAAGGATATCTCAGCATCTATTTATTTTGGGTGCGTTCCACTTAACGTTCACAACGCTTGCGAGCATCATTTTATCCTTATCGTTTTCAAATATTAAACAAGGATACGACGTTAAGTGGAACGCCTTTTGTATATTATTTTCTCTCTTTCATTATTATTATTTTCTCTCTTACATTATTTACTCTCTTTTTCTCCTTCCTTAACATGTTTAGGTTGCTGAAAATCTATTGCCGCAATCTCAATGCGAGACATTCGTAGAATTAATTGAAGACATTGTTAAACAATTGCGCTTGGATCCCACACGTACCTTACCTTTAGTAGCACATGGTCCACCTGATCAATCTGCCGGTGGAAGTCCGGTTACGAGCAGACGTCCTAGGGATCGCGACCACAGTCTCGATACAGCTAAGGTATAACTTTAGTAGCTACGTATTAAAGAATAAGTTAGACATTAATATCATCATTAAAAGTGCAGCATATGGTGTAAACGATATTTACATCATATTTTGCAGAATTCTGTCATCAATTTCTTTATCACTAGACGCTATTTTACGCGTGACGGAAAACTTTTATTATGTGCTCTTTAAATATATGCAGATGTGTCCAAGACAATGCTTCGCATAAGTAATGTGATTTTCTCCTTAAATGCATCAATTTTGTATTTCCATTTAAAATCTATAAATCAGGATAGTAATATTATTATAAAATAACATAGGGGGCTTTATATGGAACAAATTTTCAATATAAAATCAAGGGTATATAATTAGTGTATATGGTTTTGTGGACGCAGCAGGTGAGACATGGCTCGCTAACACGTCAAAGCAGCCACCGATCGTCGTACAAAGTCCACCGTAGACACCGTTCGGTGAGTTCATCGATCCTACCGTCCCTTCTCCTGTTTTTCCCGCATTTCAGAGTTATATATTCGTGGACGCTTACGCATCTCATTTTTGTTACATTTTTAATCAATTATGCTCAGATTCGAACATTTATTAGGCCATTATAATTTTATCTTGTTATAGATTTACATTATGTATACAGAAACCTAAGAAAGTTTTGAGATTTAAGTTTTTATTTTTTTGTGAAAGATTCTGATTTCTTTTGTAATATAAAGAAGTGAATACCGAACGAATGATTTTGAAAAAGCTATGATTGAGAACCGATTTCCATGAATATTTGTTAAAAACCTCAGAACTTTCTTGTCATATTTACGTTATGTTTTTACATCTTTCTTTTCACAGATCATCTCATATCATTACAACGTATATATATGTAATAAAGAAATTACATATTTTGTGTGCTGTATTGATTGACTGTATTGATTTATACATTTCTGCATATTTTTATTTTATTTTTATGAAAATTTATTATTCTAAAAAAGTCTTTATTACAGAAATTATGAATATAGGTTTTATGAATTGCAATAAGAATCGTTATGTTCTCATAGGTCACTTGCTACAAATGCTTTGAAGCATTTTTTGATTGATTAATTAGTGAAATTTTTTCTTTTTATTGGTCAGTCAAATGGTTTCGAAGCGTTTGTAGCGCCAAATGGACCGCACCCATAGATACGCAAATATATTTTGCATCATAAATGTTTTGGTAATAAAGATTTAATAAGATACGTTTGATTATATGTGTGTGTGTGTGTGTGTGTGTGTGTGTGTGTGTGTGTATGTGTGTGTGTGTGTGTATATATATATATATATATATATATATATGTAAATAAGAGTAAGAATGCTTCATATTTTTTAAATATAATTGTTTATTTTATTTAAATGGTTTTGTATATGTAGATAGTTTTCTGTAAAACAAATTTAATAATAATGAATATATTTTAAAATTTATAAAATTTAAATTTGTGTGTGTCGCACGCGCGCATGTGTATACACACATTTACACAGGATATTCCAAAATTTGCGAATTAAAATATCATAAAAGTTTTAAGTAAAAAAGTTTTCAAAAAATTGAGCAAGAAATTATGTAAATTTTTTTTTTATTTTAAATAATTTTATTTTACTTAAGTAACAGTTTGTAAATTATTATATATGATCATTTATATTTAAAGTGCGCGCTTATTTATATTATCGCATGCGCGATTCGTGGATAAGTGACCGTCTAAATGTAATCTGTAATTGGCTTTATTCAAACTTTTATATCTCAAAATTTTCAGAAATTTTTTTTTTGATATTTTGATTCGTGAATTTTAGGACAGCCTGTATATATTGTGTGTATTCGTGCGCGCGTGCGTGTGTGTGTATGCAGGTCTCTTGTATTTATATTATATTTATCTTTCACAAATACATACACAGACACAATGATTTAAAATAACAACGATCATTTTCCTTTCAGAGAGACGAAACTTCAAACACTTCTACTCCAACGAAATTGTTGCCGATCGAACAAATTATTTCTCATATTGCCAATACCACTTTGGAGAAGCAACAGGTCGCTCAAACTCCTGATAATCAAGCCGGTGCCGAAAATACGTCAGCGGAAGCTTCCAGAAGGTCGTCCACATCTACACAAAATACTGACACTTTAACACCTACAAATATACCAAGTGACCCAACGGATAATCAAGAAACTATCGTTTCTGCAACGTCCGCGGAAACAGTTGTAGAAGCACAGCATAATATTCAAGATGATGCTAACAATTCAGCCTTTAAATCTTATCAAGCGTTTACAACGCATGCTCAAACTCAAATACAAGATACAATAATGAACGCAAGTCATGCGAGTGAGGGATCAAAAGAATTTCAAGAGCAGCAAGATGTAGACATAAAGGAATCTGGAATAACTAAAGAGATAAATGCGTCCGACGTTGCAGAGATATCGACTTTGACAGTACCGACGCCACTGCGTAAAATTTCTCGCTTCTTAGTTAGTCCTGTGGTCGAACAAAAAAATATCGCGGCTGAAGAGGAATCTTCTGCTGTCGGTGAAAGCATAGATCGTACAAATATCGCAATGTCACAGTCAGCATCGCAATCTGTTGCGCCTGTTGCGAACGCGGAGCTTATATTGAAAAATGAGGAACACGTGGAAGCGAATGTTTTAGAAATCCAGAGTGGAACGATGCTCGAGCCAACAAACAATAATGAAACAATCGTTCAAAGTATTCCGTATACTATGGAACAGACAGACAGTATGCAACAGATCTTGCAACCAGGACAACAGTCGATCGGACTGCAGCAGAATATTATTCAAATGCAGACTTTGCAGCAAATGACGGGACACGTACAACAAACCACGACTATCGGACAATCGAAGCAGCATACCATACTCGTTCAGGGATCTACGATAACGGCGCAGCAAACTTCCCAGCAGATACCTCAAACTGGTATGCAGCATTTCGTGCCGGTTAATTCGCAAGAGTTGCAATCTCAGCCGCTTCATTCGAACGGAATACCTCAAACGCAGGCGCAGTATCCAAGTCAAGCAATGATACAACCCGGCGTTGTAATGCAACCACCACAGCCACAACAAATTCCTGTGCAGCAGGGCATAATGCAGATGCATATACAAGCGGAACAAATGCAGGCCCAACGTCCGGCGGTGCAGCAATTTATCCCGCAACAAGTGCAGCCTCCGACACAGCAGTATGTGATGCTGTCGGGCCATATGCAACCGGTACAACCAACAACTATGGATGATCGAAATCGCAGAGTGCCGAGTTTATCCGCTACGTCCAATGCGTCCAATGTATCCTTGGACTCACAAATTTTGGAATCATCCAGCATAGCTGAAGAAAAGAGACAGGCCATGAACGCAACTAATATACCTGTAACGCACATGCAACATGTACAAGTCGTTCCACAAGATATTGTTGGTACAATATCATTGCCGCAAAGCACCATAGAAGCTGCTCAACCTCCTCATCAAAACGTGCAACATGTTCCGGGAACTTTACCTCCAACCATGCAGATACCTGCCTCTGTGCATCCGGTCGTTGCTTCAGATATTTCCGCACCTAAAGTCACCATTAAGACAAAAGAGGTGTCTTCGACGCTTCCAGATCTCGCACAAAATTTAGCAAACATACTTTCCAATCCGAAATCCAAATCTGCCACTCCTCATCCTCTAACCAGCCACGAACCAGCCGCAGTTCCTAACATTGCTGTTGCCACGTCAGTCGACCACAAACCTGTGCAATCCGAGCAATATTTTCAACCTATACAACCGGAAGCGAGTCAGCTGCAAATTCAACCGCCTGTTCAACACAATTATTCTGGGCAGATCGTGCATCAGGGATATCAGGGACAACCGAACTTTCAGCAAGCATTTCAGAATCAACAAGTGCTTCACCAGAATCAAGTACAGTCGATACCGCAATCAATTCCGTTAACAATCCCTCAACAAATTGACGCTCAATCACAGATGATGCAATCCATTCTTCAAACTGTATCAAATCAATCAATTACTCAAGGAAAATGGATTATGACTAACCAAACTCCTCTACAGCAGCCATTACGACATATACAACCAAATCAACTGCAATCGCTCCCAAATCAATTGCAGTTACAACAAATTTCTGTGCAGCCACAAATGCATCAGCAAATTATGCAAGACCAACAACACAGCGAATCTTCCGTATTAGATCAATCACATTTACATTTGAAACTTCCAGAACAACATTCAGCAAAACCTTTGGAAATTGAGAATCTGGAATCTTCGAATTTAAATAAGTATGTGTATTTACCTATTCCAACAACAATACATATGTTAAACACTTTATAGACATAGTACATATGTTAAACGCTAGTTTGCATTAAGTTTACTTCATTATTTCAGTATACGTCGTACTAGTTCTGATTGTCAGTTACTTATATCCGAAAATGAGAATTCCAGTCACGATGTGACGCCTGAGCACACTCTGGTTGAATCCATCGATTCTACATCAATTCTGCAACAACAGTTGTCGCAACCACAACAACAGCAGCAACAGCAGCAACAGCAGCAACAGCAGCAGCAGCAGCAGCAGCAGCAGCAGCAGCAACAACATCGCAAACTCAGTCAACAGAATTCGTTAGACAAAATGTCAGAGATAAGTTGCGGGAATGTCGGAAGTGGTGCAGGACCGCAAACTATAGCTGATTTGCATCAGAAACTTGTACAAGTGACTAGTCAGCCGTCGGAATCGCTGAACGTTGGTACACCACCTATAAGTTATCCTGCCACCCCTCATAATAATCAGGTGGTTGGAGGATATGACGCGTATATGCATTCTTTGCAACAGAAATTGTTTAATATTGGCATGCCAGTTTCATCCGCGAATGTCACATGCCCGTTATCTCCTCAAACAACCATACATTCCTCCACTATTCTCACCGATACGCAAGCCGAGGCAACTATCGAGGGCTCCACCATAATACAAGACAATTCTAGCGCATTTGCAGTGTCTCAAAGTGTAAGTTCTCTATGTTATATATAATACTTTATGTGCGCAATTGATGATTTTGTTTCTCTCATAAATATTCGCATAAAATTTCTTTTTAGAACGTAGAATGCTCCCTTGATAGTCCGACACCAGGAGCTCCTACAGGAACCGAAAATATGAGCCCGAGCAAAGAAAATGTGAAAATACGAACTCAAAGACCAGGATCCCGTTTGCAGGAATTAGAGCAAGAATTAGCAAAAATTCATCATAGAGGTTCAGTTTTCGCAGCAGCTCCAGTTCAACCTTTAACGCCACCTATATCAAACGTACAAACACAACAATCTGTACAAAATTTGTTAACAACCGCTCAGCCAGTATCAATAGTACCTGCGGCTACTGTTACTTCTAACATCGTGACATCGCGATCTGGTACCAATACTCCAATTCAGACAGAACTCCAAGACACTAATGAGGTAATTTTCTGCGACATTTTCGAAAATACATTACATTATTTATCTCTTTATTTTTATGTATTGCATTTATTAGTTCGATGTCACACTTTTTTTCTAAAACGTTACAAAATTATAATGGAAATCGTTTTATAATATATCTACTTTTCAAAATAATGTTGGAATATTTATCTTTGAATAATAATGTTGATGCAGAAGGCAAATTCTACTCAATCTGCTAGAAAAGTATCAAGATTTATGGTTTCCAAAGTTTCGGGTCCACCTGTTCATAGCAACGCTGCTATTAATCAACAACAAGCTACCGATGCTGTAAGGTCTCAATTACAACAAACGGAAGAATTAAAAATTTTAGAACGGCAAAATATTCTTCCTCATCATACAGATGATCTACATGGTTAGAGATTTTACTTAAAAGATGAAACTTAAATAAATATACATTAATATAGTAATAAATGTATATAAGAACATTTTTATGTATCAAAACAATTGATATATTTTCTAATTATAGGAGTATCTGCACAAATATCTTACAGTCGAGAAAATTCTATTCCGCCAACTGTACAGGCAACTTATGGTACTAACATTTCAAATCTTGAAGTAAGTTTCTTTTTATAACATTATATTAGATAAAAATATAAAAATTGTAAAATAAATTATTTTAATAAGAATAATAGAGTTAGATAAAATAATTTATTGTGGACATTACAGTCCGAAAAAGAAGAGAGATTTGTGGCTCTTACACCGAGTGAAGAATACCAATTACTTATAAAGAGGTAATATTATTTAGAATATGATATTTAGAAACCATAAATTTATTTTTTATTTAACGAAAGAAAAAACATATCTAAAATATATTAAAATAACTAAAGATAAAAATAAACTTCAAAGATTAATTTACGATTTGTGTCTATTTTTTAAGGATGTAAAACAATTTTTATTATGTATAGACAAACTTTGGAACTAGAAACGTTGCAAAAGAGACATAGAGAAGAGTTGGAACGTTTTCAACAACAGCAGCTACAATTGCTTATTCAACAACAGCAACAAGCAAGTGCGCTTCACCATCAGCATCATCCGTTGCTTTATCACACGGTTGCAACAAATATCTCCGGTTAGTAGTACAAATTAATTTCATTTCATTATACATACATACGTGTTCCTTATGTGTACAATGTATACTGATTGATTGATTGTTATTTTGTCATTTAATAGGACCTAGAATTCCAGGAACGGAAGATTATCTAATGTTTGGCACAACACCGCAAACTCCACTGCAAAAAGGGCCGAGTAACTATCCGGATACGGATGAGACTTTACGGCTTGCCATGCAGAAATTAAAGCAGCCTCCACTGCAACTTCAACCACAGCAGGCATCGGCTGGAATACCGCATGCTTATGTTATCCCAATTCCAGTAGTGCCTTCTGAAAATATGCAAAGTGTAGTTTCTCAGCAAGGTAATAACTGTTCGAATGATGTATCTGAGAGCATTGATACGACGCACAGTACAGTGATTGGAAATCCGACGCAGTACCAATTCACTCCTATATTATCAGAGGGAACGAATATCTCGTCAACAAATGTCGGATCGTTACCTACATCCGCGCCTTTACCGATATCCAGCGCGACAAGCGCTTACATTCAGTATGAGGGCCAGCCGCTACCGAATTTTCAGACTTTCAGCTGCACGCCCCATGGCGGTTTCTTTTTGCCAGCTGGCTATCGGCTAATATATACGCCGCCCACGACTCAATCTCAGCCAGCGACACCCGCCACATCTCACGTGGCAAATTCTTCACGTGATGATACGCCCCCAACGGCGGAGTTGCATCACTCGATCACCGCCGAAAATTCAACGGTTCCTCCTTCACATTTGGATCAATAACGTAACATTCGGCTCACATGCTTCTATATTTTTCGGTCGGTCTGCGTTCGTTCTTAGTTTAACGCTCGATACTTTATAGTGCAGTTTCGCATTGTTATCGTCACGAGTGTAATTCGAATATATAATTTGCTGTGAAATGCGCGCCCCCATTGCTAGACAATATCCATAAAGGTGCGAAGATGGATCGAAAAAAAGAAAGAAAAGAACGTGAGTGAAACTATATATAATGTTTTTCGATGTATGACGCACTTGCGTATATTAAACAAGATATATCAAATATTCTCGCTATCTGAGCGTGTGCATGATATTGCTATGATATGTGCCTCGCAGCGGAAGTAAAAGTGGAAAAAGGGAGGATACTGCGAAGAAGCGATATATATAATATATATAATATATATATGTGTATATACATGTATGTATATACATATATACACATACATATAAATTTTCCGAATGCAACGCAGGAACTGGAGATAGAGGCCTTTACATGTACTGTGCTTCAATGCGTTAAAAAGAAAAAAAGAAAAAAAAAAAAGAAAAATCTTCCTCCACTGAAACCTCCAAGGGATTCTATTATTGCCCGACTCCTTTAGTAGCACAGTTCACATTAGTACAGGCCTCCACTAGTCTTACGATCGAAATGGCATATGGCCATTCTGCTCGGTATATGTGTATAACTGTTACTGTATGCTGGATGTGTCAGAAAAAAAGAGATCGAATGAGAAAGAGTGATAGGTAGGGACAAGGGGCAAGGGGCAAAAAAAATAAGAATCAGAGAGAATAGAAAGGAAGAAAGAAAGGAAGTATGTAGCTTATGCGAGTATGTATGCGTATAATTGTGCGGGTATGTGTATGTGTGTGTTGGAGGTAAAAAAATAGGCAGAGAGAAATATGATTAATATAGTCACTGTTATGCTTTAATGTATTTCTAGCGATTTTGCCTATTTCAATTAAAGAAAAAAAAGTCATGTGTTACTAGTTAGCAAACCTATATATCTTTCGTTTACTATATTGATAATTATCTTCTTTTAAAACTGGTAGTAGCCGTTTTATCTACCGTTGTTTATTTTGATATATATATGATGTAATTGAGATAAATTATCTGATGCCATCTGTAGATCATTGACAAATGCGCCTGTTGACAGTTTGACTATTAACAATTTAATCGATCTAAGTGATGTATCACTGTCAACATGTTGGAGAACCGTATTAAAAATTTCCATTTTAGTTCTTGGTAATTGTGAAACGTCATTTCAGATAGCGAAACATTTAATTATAATTTTAATTCGATTATAATGACTCCTGAATATATTATACATTTTACCAATAGATCGTTATTGTTAGTTTTTTAAATCGTTTATGGATTTTTCGTTTACATTAGTATTGTTTAATAATACCGAAATTTGTTTGTAATTATCGCATGGATCGGCTATCTGTATTGTTATTACAACTATGTGTCGAAGAAGTGTTTAAAATTATTCGTTCCGATACGCGGCTCTCGCGTCTACCCTGAACTTGGTGATTTTTGTGCTGAGATTAAACCTCCTTTTAAGTATAAGGCTTCTTTTTGGTGCTTTTATATCACGATATTACATTAAAATCTGTTGAAATGTTCCCATAAGAATTGCAATAGTTTATTATATATATATATATTACATGGACTTCAAATTAGATTATTTTATATGATTATTATCTAAATGACAGATACTTATGTAAGTGTATCTAATCGTCATCATTAAGTATAATGTATGAGTTTAGTAGATATTAGTTTTAACCGAGTTTTTTAAAATTATAATGAAATTTTTTCAGCAATTCATTTATAAACGGCTACGTACCTTTTCTCTTTTTTTGATATTGATGTTTGCATTACATCTAGGAAATCTCAGTCGAGTAATTTGATATGAGAAATGGCTGTTTATTATATCAAATCTTGTTGACACCTAAGAAATACGGATAGCAAGTAGTTGATAAACGAAGCTTTATTTGTAAAGAATGGTTCTTAATGAAATTTCACGCGAATATTCTTTAGTCGTGGAAATATTAAATCGTCAGGCTAGAATCTCTTGTTTTCCTTCATATTTTTCTCGTCTGAATTTTTTTTCGAAATAAAACATCTTATACTGTTTTCCTTTGACAGCCAATGTGATTCGTTCCTAAGTTTGAATTTTTGAAGATCGAATGTCCATCGAGTCTTCTTCCGGTAGTCAATGTTGTTAGTTTCTGCATTGCATTAATAATTATTCTGCTTATTGGGAATAATACATTTTCTATGTATAAAATTAATAGTTTACTTCCAGAATTGTATTGCAATAAAAAATTTGAGATTTCAAGCAGCATGATAGTTTTAAGTAATTTAAGTAATTTCATAAACACAGAAAGAAACAATTACAAACATATTCTTAAATAATCATAATTTAATATGTATTAAAACAATTTGAAAATACAATTCGGCTATATAGAATGTTGCTTTTTATCGCGGGGATTGTTTAAAAATTCTATGTTATAAAATAAGAACATTAATAATTTATTTTAATTACCAAAAGTTTTTAGTGCTATTATATGAGACAATTTTAATAATACAATATTGTAAAACAAGCTGAAACTTTATTAACGACCTTTATCAAAACGTTAAATGTAAAAATTACTTCAATGAAACATAACGAAGAGAAATAAATATACATACAATATAGATTGGTTGTCTTTTTCCACTGCGATATCGTTGAATTAATATCAAAATAATAAAAATGTTATTATTCATATTTTTTATTATACAATAGATATATATTAGATATTATATACAATCTTAATACATTATATTTCAGGAATATCATCGAATCTTTTTAAAACTGTTTCTCTCTTTTCCACATATAGAAATTACTCCTTTTAATCATCATCTTCCTTGCAGAATTCCTTTATGCTGTAATTATAACAAGTATTACTGCCAATAAAATAATTGTAAATATTATTTTACTAGTATCATATTTTATAAGATAAAAATAAATGAAAGAATTACGTTATTGATTATAATTATTCATTATAATAGATAAATACTAATAATAAACATAAAGATTTTGATCAAAGTATTACAGACTGATATTCTAAGAACTATTAAATAAAAATAAACAATTTTCTCTGTCAAGTAGCAATTTTCTTATCACACAAAAATTTTAAAATATATTAAAATTGAATTGCCGAAATCTTGGGTGAATGTAATTTAAAAATTTCAAAAATTCTATTTATGTTCTGGATAAAGAACTTGAATGTTAAACATTATACTTACTGTTAAGTATATTTGAACAGTCGCTATAGTTAACCCTAAGATCAATGCTAGAGTGTCACCGAAATCAAAATTGGAAGCCATTGCGACATCAAAAATGCCGAATATGACGAGTATAAAATACAACCACATTTTTCTCGTAAATGATAACTGCAGAAATATATTGTATATGTATATATATATATATATATATATATATATATATATAAATTGCAAGAATGACAGCTCTTGAATTGTTTTCTTGCACTGTCGTTTGTGCGTTGTGTAATTAATATAACTCAGTATCTCCTTTTAAATCAAGTAAGTTCGTCATCAGATCAAATAGTCGCGTCTCAAATCATGTTCTAACGTTTTACGTTCGTCACCGATAATTATGTCTGTCGCTCTATTTAGCACTATGTAAATATGAACATGGCGGCCAAACTTAATAACATCGATTAATTATCGAATAGTCGCATGCGTGGAGAATTTCACCATTCCTACAATTTAGATCTGTTCGCGTTTTTAGCACTTTTTGCACTCAGCATCTTCGCTTTCTCTCTCTTCAACGCCCGAATATATATTTATCTCGTTTTAAGTGCATTTTTGAGGAGCAACAGACTCTACCATTTGTCATTAGGACAACTAGTGCAACACTGCAATTAAATGCAAATCAATTCACATATTTTCAATTAATAAATAATTTAACCCTTTTATCAAGACAACCTTAAAAGGATTAAATTATTTAACCCTAGAAATATACAAACTGAATTGCATAATTTTGCACTAGTTTTCCTAGTATAAAATGGTATTAGTAATTTACTAGATCGAGTGTACTCGCATCGAGAAATCGCATCACATATGTTGGCTATACTTCGGTTACTATCAATAGAAAACTAACCTCATAAGCAGCTTCATATTAAGACATAAATAAAAAACGAGTCTCACAGTAGTGAATCGAGAGAATGGCCGGTTCGTCGGCAAACGTAACGGTGTCGAGTATCTTGAAGAACAAGAGCTCGTTCGACGATGAACCGCGGAAGAAGAGCAGAGAAGACTGGCGAAAGGCAAAGGAACTTGAAGAAGCGAGGAAGGCTGGTACAGCCCCCGCGGCCGTTGACGAGGAGGGTAAAGATATCAATCCGCACATTCCGCAGTACATCAGCGCGACACCATGGTACTTCGGTTCTCAGGGCCCCACTCTGAAGCATCAGAGACCACAACCTGAGAAGCAGAAGCAATACAATTCGATAGATGATTGGTACAATCGCGGGGTAGATATCTCGCGAACGGCTATCAAGTATCGTAAGGGTGCTTGTGAGAATTGTGGCGCGATGACTCACAAGAGGAAGGACTGTATGGAGAGACCACGTAAGGTTGGTGCAAAGTACACTAATTTCAAGATAGCGCCGGATGAATTTACCCAACCCGAGCTGTCTATGGACTACGATGGTAAGAGAGACAGATGGGCCGGTTACGACCCTTCCGAGCACAGAGCGATTGTCGAAGAGTATCAAAAGATAGAAGAAGCCAAGAGGCAGATGCGTGCCGAGAAACTCAATGCAGAGGAAGAAAACGACGAGCAAGATTCGGACAAGGACGAAGATAAATATGTAGACGAAGTGGACATGCCTGGTACAAAGGTCGATTCCAAGCAGCGCATTACTGTGAGGAATCTCCGGATTCGAGAGGACACGGCCAAGTATCTGCGCAATTTAGATCCGAACTCCGCGTATTATGATCCAAAGACCAGATCTATGCGTGACAATCCTTATGCAGGTACGGAACGTGAAGTGGATTTCAAAGGTGAAAACTCAGTCCGTTTCTCGGGGGACACGCAGCAGCATGCTAATGCACAATTGTTTGCTTGGGATGCGCATGAAAAAGGAGTCGACGTACATTTATTGGCTGAACCTACGAAATTAGAACTATTGAAGCAGGAATATGACAAGAAACGCGACGAGTTGAAAGATAAGGCACGTGATGGTGTGATCGAGCGTTACGGAGGTGAAGAGCATCTTCAAGCACCACCGAAGGCTCTATTATTAGCACAGACTGAACACTATGTTGAATATTCGAGGTACGGTAAAATAATCAAAGGACAAGACAGACAAGTGATAAGATCCAAATACGAAGAGGACGTTTATCCAAATAATCACACATCGATCTGGGGTTCTTATTGGCAAGATGGAAAATGGGCTTACAAGTGCTGCCATTCCTTCATAAAAAATTCGTATTGCACCGGAGAATCAGGGAAAAAAGCAGCGGAAGCAGTGAGCAACAGCATGCCAGATAAAATACCATCTACGGAAGAAGTGGAACTAGATAAATCAAATATAATGGATGACAATCATTCCCTCAATAGCGAATCTTCGTCCGAGGATGATATGAAAAACAGAACGGAATTGCAGAGTAAAGCGGCTAAACGAAAATTGAAAAAACAGAAACGAAAAGAAAATCGTAAGAATAAAAAACGGAATAATGCAGAAGCTGAAGACAAACTGAAAGAAGCGCTGAGAAAGGAAGAGGAAAATACGAAGCAAGTAGACAGGATGTTGAACATAGACGAGAGGAAACGTCCGTACAACAGCATGTACGAGACAAAGGAATTGACAGCTGAAGAGATAGAAGCATATCAAATGAAACGCAAACGCGATGAAGATCCAATGGCCCATTTTCTTTAAAAATAATGTTTTACAAAACAGGACATTGATATTGTATATATGTCATGTGTAAATCTTGTAATATTTATCTTGTATTATTTTATGAAAATACTAAAAGATAGTACTTTAATGATACTAATTATATATATATATTAATTCAACAATTGCTTACAATTTTTTATTATATATTTCATTGTTCCTAATCTTTCCATATTCAAATCTTTCTAAGAAAATTAATAATTTTATTTTCCATGTCAACAGATAATTGATTAAGTTAATTGGTCATTTCAGTTTGGAGTTATGTATTCGTTTCTATTAATATAGATTAATTAATCTCACTTTAACTTGTAGTTTCTAGACGCGGAAATGCTTGTCGCGCGGCAAAATGCGACGCGATAATCAATAAATGTTAGGAGCTGTACGCTTATTGGTTACCGCGTCACAATTTACCGCACGGTAAGTGACTAGAAGTTTACGCTGCTTGGAAATGTGCTCGATCAGTCTTTCCATTCTTTAGAGAAATAGCTATGATTGGCCGGAGTTATAATATCGATGTTATGAGTTTATAACTCGGGCGTAAATCGATTTGTATATGTATACGAACAATTAATTGGCTACTGCTCCAATTTCATTGCGCGACAAACAATTTCGCGTTCAGTGTGCATAATCAGTCATAACTTAAACTGAGATTAAAATTAAT